CTTTCTTCTTCCACGTCCACCAATCAGGAAACGCCGTTTCTATAGAGGCTCTACAACTTCAGAGCCCAAATACACCAGTATGGGATGGAGGAACGCTTCGCGTTCCAGCTCCCAATGATGTCCAGCGTCGTCATGTAAATAGGATGCCCGATACAGTCAGTATGGGACGGAAGAACGCTTCACGTTCCAGTTCCCAATGATGTCCAGCGACCGGGATGTAAATAAGACAATAATCGAGAAGAGAGACTGGCGATTTCTTGTAGTGTTGATGTCTTTTATTCTATCCATTTAGGCGCCAAGTGACTGCCATGTTGGAATAGTTATGCATGAATAATAATAAATCACGGATATTTGATGATGACTTTCTTTATTTACCAATAAGCTCCAAGCCTAACATTCATGAACAATCACTTTAAATACAACTTTAAGCTTTTCAATTACTGAACCATTAGACCGTATGCGTCTAAACCCACGAATGAAATTTTAGCTCGTCTTATCTAAACGCAAACTGCAAAATACATTTACAGTTGGTCATAGTAAGTTATTATGAGTTGATTTATTTTTAAACCTGAATGTGCGTTCGAGTTCTCAAATTGGCTCTTGCTTAGTAAAGTGACTGTTTTTTCTTATTTTTTTGCGAATGGAAAATCACTCAAATTAAAATAATATGCATGAAAAGGGAATTATTGTCAATTGTTTTTCATACCAATATGCTTCTCTTATTAATATAATAAGTGCGCACATAAGATTTTATTGCTCTTTTATGTTTCTTTTAATAAAACAGAGAATTAGTTACAAATATTTACATTTTGATTCCGCTCATGTATATGTATTTATTTGGATGTAATAATGCATTAATACAGTCGGATCTCTATATAACAAAGTCGCAAAATCCAGGAAAAAAGCTCGTTATATGGAAAATTCATTATATAGAGGTTCATCTTTTAATATACTTTATAAATCACATAAAACAAATTTTAAATTCGTAAACACTATCTATTGAAAAAATAAATTATTCACATCCTTTTTTTTTAAATAAATACATGTTTATTTTATGTATCTTACTCATCAAAAAAGAAAGAAAGAAAGAAAAATTGCAAGGAAAATAAGAAAAAATATGTCAAAGAATTCGCTGTATTTCCAATACTAAGAAAAAAATTTTATTATAAAACTAATGAATTTTAAGGACATTTTATAATTTAAAGTATACAAGAAAAAACATTAAACATACATTATTTTATAATTAGAACACGGGGACACAGGACAACTCCACTGAGGGTGAAAGAGGATATCGAAGGTGTTTCTAGTGAACTGGGCTATGGGGATTAAGGGCTGCACTTCTTGGATCAAACGTCCAGAACTCTATTGCTCTAGGCGAGTTAGGATCTAATGAAACCAGTTTAAGATTTATGACCACCATAAAATGTGTTTAAGAGATAAAAACATAAATTTTTTTCAGAAACACGTTAAAATAGGAGAACAAAAATTGTATCACAAAAGAAAAAGTTCGTTATATAGAAAATGTACTTCGCAATAGAGAGGTTATTTTACGAAAATCGTGAAATGTTCAAGGTCCCAGGAAAAAGTTCGCAGTATAGAGGTTAGTTGCATAGAGGTTCGACTGTATATACATTTTTGCAAAATTTCATATCGGTGTTTTAAAAAATATCTAAAAATTTCTTATATCATATTTTTAGAATAATATTTGCACAGTAAAACGCTCACTACTCAAATGATGGAATCATAATTAATTAAAAATCTGCAACTTCATTTTTTTTAATATTTTAATTAGAATAGATGGAAAAATTGCAAAGTTAATAATAGCATCTTGATACAAGTGAAACTAATCTTTTTGCAAAATCCCAAACCACAAGAAACACAAAATTAAGCTTAAACAAAAATAAAAAATAATAATAATAACAAAACGAAGAAAAAATCAAAAGAGTTTCGCAGTAACAATTGTATATTTATCTCTAACATGTAAAAAAATGAAAAATAGCACTTTATTGAGAAAAATTCATAACTTCGTTTCATCACAATCAGCTAGAAAATAACAATAGGGTTCACATGCACTATTTTAAATATTTTCCATTTCACAAATGTAAAAATATACATCCAAATGGCATAAGTATTCTAGTATGTTTTGGCAGCAATTAGTAGATTGAATCTGTAAATAATATACGTTGCAGGCAATAGCTAGAAAATACCGAGATCTTTTACAAAGTTAAAACATTCATTACATAATACCTGCTATAAAAGGAATGCTGAGTCAATGGCTCCCATGGATGTATTTACATGCTTTCTAGCTTACTTTACGTGAGTGATGTTGAACCAAGGGACTAAAACTATTGTTTCTTCCACTGAAAAGTGCGGGTTAAGAGCAATGTTCACTAAGTGTTAAAATGAGTGAATTGTTGCACAGGGATTGCCTACCTCTAATTTTGTAATACAATAACTTTATATTTTGTATATAGCGTTATTTTAAATTTTAATTAAAATGTCATAAAACACATACTTTTTCAATGCCTACTATCAGCTCACACTCTCTATATATTTAATTATTCATTTATCTTCGTGGAATCTTCAATCGTTAATAAAATACATTTTGAAGCGCTCAATTGAGCTGAAATTTTAGACACATGGTTATTTTGGATGACATACAGTAATTTAATTATAATTAATAAAAATTGATTAAAACTGATTATTTAAAGAATTACAGATACACACACAGCTACGTTGGTTTCATTTTTAGCGACTTGGGTCAAAACTTTAAAAGAGTTTTTTTCCCCTCACGTTTTAAAGCATTCAGTTGAACTGAAATTTTATATACACGATTGTTTTGGATGACAATACGATACTTTAATGATAATTAATAAAAATTAAGTACCACTTAATGTTGTGTGATTGTCCTATGTATATACATATTTATATTAATAGTAACTTAATTAATAAAAAGTAGCAAAAATATAAAAATTTTCTTTGTTGATCTAAATAGGAATTGACTTTTTTTTTTTTTTTTTTTAATTTTTTTTTGTAAAAATACAAAAAAAAATAAAAACAATTTTTTACAAAAAAAAGGACTTCAAAGGGTGGGGTTTTGACCGGGGGTCTGGACCCTCCCCCCCCCCCGTGCCACATACATATGACAACTGTTTGACACGGCCACAACATGAGGATTAAGGGGAGATGGGACGCTAAGGACATTTAAAATGCGAAAAATTGATCCAAATAATTAAACTCATATTTTTGGATTTTATTTTAAAACTGTATTAAGCTCTATCAAACATTAACACGCAATAAATGGATTTGAGACATTTCCTAGCCATTTAAGGCGTAATTTCGATTTCCATACATCGATGATCCCAAGCCCCTTGTTTGCATTCTACTGTCATAAAAACAAAGCTGTCATGTACTTTGATGATTTGATTTGTCTTTTGACTAAGTCTCATTTATTTTTATTTTAGATATTAAATCATCAAGTACAGGATCGTAGCAAAGAGTTTTTATTGAATTCCAGACTAAAATCAGTATTATTTGTTTAAAATTAGTTCAGACTTGCTTGAGTACTTTTGTATCAAACTTATTCAAATACTTTTTGATTTCACTAAAAAAAAATATTTCTGCACAAATAACTGAATTTATCAAAGAGTACATCGGAAGAATTTAAGAAACACTAACGATTTCTGTATCAATTCCTTTGTTTATCCTTAACAATTTCATACTTTATCGATATATATCCTCCCTTTCTCAGTGTCTCGACAGCCCAGGGTGGATCTTGGCCTTCTTAAGAAGCATTTTCTGGGATCAATATGTGTAATGTAACAAAATGTATAGGATGTTTTTATTACCTCTGCAATTATGTGATATTTCCACCGACGAAATGTTTGGTTGGTGTTGCGAAGTTTTATTTTTTTCAAGAAATACACACACACAATGAAATGAATGATGCAGATCCTTTTCCCACATCATCCGAAATGAGGAACATTTTGAAAAGTAAGCGTAGTTATTTAGACGCACATTCCAACTGTAAAGTGAATATAAAAAATGACGACATTGAACAATTTGTTGAAAATGTGATGCTAAAAAAGTCAATGTAAAGAAAAATATCAGATTATTATTTCATGATTCAAATGGAATTCCGGGAATGATAAAAAAAAACAGCACACAATGAAGTGTTTGAGAAAATTTCTGTATTATTAAACTGTCCAAGTGCATCATCGGAAGAATTTATTGCATTAGATGATGATAATGTGTATACAGAATAATTGCCTTACTGCCTTAATTACAGCAGACAAAGACACTTTGGAAATTGTTCAAAGAGATCTACAAATATCATTGATGCCGATTCGAAAGAAAAAAAAAATGAAGTGATATTGCAGCCCTTCTTGCCACATCATTGGAAATGAGGAACATCATGAAAAGTATGCACAATTATTTAGCCGCACATTTCAAGGATGAAATGAATAACAAAATGGGACAAATTGATGCTAAAAAAGAAAATGCAAATAAATATATCAGATTATTTTCCAAAAACTCGAAAAATATTTGGTCTTTCAAAAAGCTTTAAAATTTTGTAAATGTTTTTGTTTTATTGATTTTTATTAAATACCTGCTTATATACATATTTAGTAAATAAAATGCACTGTGTAATAAACTTAATTTTGCTGAATATATGTTTTTTTTACAAAAATCTTTAACACGAAAAAATATTTCACAACTCCTTCTATTAGTTCACACTCTCTCTATAATATATATATATATATATATATATATATATATATTAATTAAATTCTTGTTCAAATTTTCAATCGTTAATAAAATACTTTCTATTCATCCATTCAAGTTCAAATATATTTTTTTAAACTTGTAGTGGATGGCACTTGATGTTAGCATATTTTTTTTCAAATATTAATTCATTAATTAAATTAAAACATGAATAGATAGTAACAAACAAAAATAATATTCCAACAGCATATATAGAAAGGAAAATCGTTCGTTATGTCCCTGTATCGCAATATGTACCGCATTGGACTTCTAATCCAAAGGCCGCGGATTCAAATTCCACCTGGAATGGCCTAATTTTTGAGAATGCGATTTCTTTTTTACTAAACAATTTTATTAGAATAATTAAATCTAATGAAAAAATAAAAAGTAACAAACAAGCAAAAATAGTCCAACACTCTATATAGAAAAGAAAATGGAAAATTGCTTTCTCTTTTGTCATTTAATAGTGTGGGTCTGTCAGATGTATATGCATATTTAAAGTAATTATAGCTGATCAATAAAAAGTAACTAAAATAAAATTTGTCTTTGTTGACTTAAGTAGGATTTGACCTATTTTTTTTTGTTATATTTTAAAAGCATATATAAACAAGTATTTTGAAAGCAATCGAATACACGTTAGAATTCCAACGAGTTCTTTAGAGCTTTTTACCTGAGTGCTGCGTCGGGAAACAAATCCCAATGCAATGGAAGAGTGGTTTTGAGCTCTGAAGCCATCCTTGATGGATGCTGACAGCATAGAATTCGTCTCTGCCAGTGAATCCCGCGCATTCTAAATGGGATTCATATCGCAGCACCTCGCCGGAAGCTCCATGGGCTGCATATATTTACATGGAAGAAAACTCATCGACCCTGCAAAATCGATATGATGCCATCCATGAGTATGAATTATGAACTGGTATCACTTGTTCTGGAATATCAAGTCCCTTATACGTCTGCCCCCTTTACTAGCTGCTTTAGATTATGAGCTCCTTTATAGTCAACCCATATTCGGAGTGTTATACGCATGACCACACACCAATGAATCAACACATCCAACTTAGTTCCAAAAGGGATTGTATGTGTGAATGGTGATTGATATTTTGTCCTGTTTATATATATATATATATATATATATATTTGAGTATGTAGAGTTAATCAGTTATGTGGTGAATTAGATACGTCACAAATGGACACATTATCTTAACGATTCAGCATCTAAGGCAAATAAATGCATTTGGCTTTGTGTAACAAAGGGAGGGCTCGACTAAGGAAATTCATTTGGGGACGAGACTCTGGGTAATGGTAGAACTAGAACTCATTTAGGGTGTTCAATCCGCAATGTAATAGCGCCGAATAACAGCCAAGTGGGAGAAAATAGCCTTCGAAATTCATACTTAGATTTTATACAATTAAATTTCAATTAGATCCGTCAATTCTATAACATAGGTGGAACGTAATTGCGTAACATACGATCGGATAGTTTTACTCCGGCAATCTTTTGTTTTCGATTAATTTAATTTTATTTAAAATTAAATACATTTATTTATAAATGGCTTATTAAATATTTTATATAATTCTAAGATAATTAAATTAATATTGTATAATATATGATATATATACATTATTTTATAATGTTAATTATAAAATATTTAGGTACTTTTCTGTTTCACCATCGGAAATCTCGCCAAGTTGGCGTTATTAGCGGCAACGCACAATATACACGTGAAAAATATTAATAAATAATAGTTCACGGAACTAATTTGATATCGGGGGTAATAGCGCCAAGCAGCGCTTCTTGTTGCTGGATTGAAATCCAATATGGCGGCCTAGCGGTAATTTAATGATATACAATTTTAAAGGATTGTTTTGAAATACATTGAAATGTATTTCAAATAAAGGATATAGGAAGAGATTGAGAATAACCTAGGTCAATCAAAATAAAGAGTATCAATAATATGTAATAAAAAGGAACATGTAGTATTTGTAGTATATTATAATCAGCATATAATAATCTTATATTATTTTGTCGTAATTATATATAATATTCATATAGTACGATTTAATAACAGTTATTAGAAATAATAACCATATAATATAATTTAACAGTAATTATAAAAAAGAATAATCGTCGAATTGTAAAAAAAAATGCATAAGATTACTCGTATTACATAATTATAAATAAGTAACATAAGAATAGCTATATATAAATAAACAACAAAAATAGTTATAAATAAATAACACAATAATTATAAATAAATAACAATAATAATTATAAAGAAATAATAATATTAATTACAAATAAATAACAAAATATGTAATAATATTTATAAATAAATGTTAAAAGAAACAATAATAAATAACGAATATTATATGATTATTACGCATAGTAATAATTCCATTTTTGTATTACATAATGGGTAAAATAATTACATAATGTATGATAAAATTAATTAAGAATTCTAATTACAAAATAGTGAATATATTTGTTACCTAACTTGGTACCGGGTGTTTCAAAAGTCAAGCACATCAACATTTGTAATTGAGTTTTAAAGACAGATGAATTATGTTAACAAACATAATAAAAAAACAAAAAAAGGTTGAAGGGTTATCTTTATTGTCAGGTGTCAGACATGATAAAATAACAGTAAATGTTCAAAATGATGTTCGTTTTCCTGGACAAACAAATGAACTATTTTTACCGGATTAATTGACACTTTACGAAGAGCGTGGGAACTAATATCCAAAAGTGAATGCAGGATGTTACTCTTATGTTCATTAAATGTATGGGGATTATTCCTGAAGGTGACATTTTTCAAATATACCCAAAAGAAAAAAATTCGGAATTGACGTCTGGTAAACGAGTTGGCAATAGTCCTTTGAAAATGACACGATCATGGAAAAATTGTTAAAACTTCCATGCTGTCACGTGATGTGTGACACATTGCACCGTCTTGCTGCAATCAAGTGTACCTTTAATCCCTTTCAGCAAGGATATGAATTCTGTAATGATGTTTATGTAGACGGACGGTCTTTTCAATGGTGGACTCCTTTGTAAGGCGGTTTACACATCTGCCACTTCCGTTTGTACTATGAACGCTCTACCCGATCGCTTCCTGTCTGCAACCCAACCTGTGTCACGTTACCGTTGCACTAAAAGTGTTATCATGGATGCATTTGGTGCTGTTTCACCTGGATATTTTTGCTGAAATGCATTTATCACACAGCAATGAGATTTTATAGCGAAATAAAATTCTACGATAGCTATTTGCTGTTGGGAAAACATCATGCACCTCCCGTTGTGCTCAACTGACACATTCAAAACTTCTTAGGATGGGATTCCTGCGGCCATCTAGTGAAAGAAATCTCAACACACCCTTTTGGTTTTTAAGCAACATGTATTACCATGGAGATGTGCGTGACTTTCGAAACACCCGATACCTATCAAAATGCAATTGCAATGTTATTCCGTATAAATTATTTCAGACTTTTCATATTCTTTTTAACCCTGCAGGTTAGTGAGATGTTAGATAGTAATTTGAAACTAGTATATTACCCTTTAACATTGAAAAAAATTCGAGAACCTCAATTATCTAACTATTGAAGAAAATTGGATGAAAATTTTGAATTTTAAGTCGCAAAATCCAGTTTTCTAAAACTTTTTATTTGTTGTAATTTAATCTCCGAATTCGCCATTTGTTTAAATAATTCATGTTCTTAGCAACTTACTTTTTTTTTAATGACTGTACGCATATTTTTCTTTTAAAATAAATTATTACCAATAAGTTAAGTCAGCATTTCTCAAACTGGAGCGCGCTTCCCTAGGGGAGTGTGATAACTCCACGAAGAGAGCGTGAACATATTGAAAAACTCAAAAGAAAAGAGTATTCAGTACTAGGCACACACACAATATATGTTACAATTAATTTAACAATACTATAAGTTAAGAATAAGTTTAATAATTTCCAGTGACCCTATGGGCTTGTCATATTATCAAATTATCTTCAAAAGTTACCACTTATCTTGATAATTTGTTTGATTTATAATTAATGCTAACTTCTGACTAAAAGTTATACGATTTACTCCCCAGTTTTATTGTTTTTTTACGTAGACATGCATATGGGATGTATTGGAGGGGGGAAGTGAAGAAAAGAATAAATAAGAAAATCCTCTCAACTAAGTCAAACATTTTCAAGATCCTTTCATCATAGAAAAGATCGTACTTCGGAAAGATGTATATATACGTCCGAGGCAATTAAAGCTTTGGCTGAGTGAGACTTTTATATATGACTGTTGGCACTTGAAAGGTTAAAGTCATATGTTAACATCAGCGTCAAGGTATAGTATATTGAGTTCAATACATTGTTAATATATAGAAGGGAGTGGGATGAAAATTGTGATTGTGAATATTGGATCGCAAATATTGAAAGTTTGAGAAGCACTGAGTTAATTGATTTCAAGCTGTAGATTGTTTAAAATTACTTCTTGAACATTTTCATCTCCATTCAACAGTGATGTTCTATAACTATTTATTTGTTATGACTTTCTTTTTCATTTTGTTTTATCTATAACGGGTGTCCATTACCGAAATTATATATATTGATATATATTTCAAATTCAATTTATTCATAGTTAGGGGTCGCGTGTTGACTATTTCTGTGTATTTATCGATATTTTCGACGATGGGCCTGCCTGTGTGAGGTCCATCTTTAACATCCAAAATGATTGAACGGTATCGAAGAAACCAAAATTGCGCATAATTATCTGTTACTCTATCTGTATCGGTACCATAAGCACCATTCCCAATTTCAGCCGCCTGGCCTGCATTTTCGCCTTTATCAAAGAAAAACTGTAAAATGTATCTAATTTTCTCTTTGTTGACTTCTATTTTAACACCGTGTAACTCACAACTGAATAGCCCAAACAACAAAAAAAAAAAAAGCAAAATCATTTTTTAGTGTGAAATGCCACCTTGACAACAAGCATATAAATGAAATTGTTTGCTCGATATACTTCACGAGATATCGACACTACAGTCATCTACCGAAAAAAATAATGGATTTCTTTTTCCCCAACCTAATATTCAAAGTTTGAGAAGCACTGGTTCTAACATCATGATTAAAACACATTAAATTGCCAATCACTCCAATCGGTTGATTCATGGTATAAATAATTTCGTGTAAAAAATGCAATATTGGAGAAAAGGTCATGAAGAACATCCACTTTTCACCTTCATTAGAATCTCAAAAATAAATTAGTAACACCTCGAAAGAAGGTGGTACTTAAAGTTTGGAAGTCGAACTATGGTTAGA